GTGGGAGGAAGGGTCAGTTGCCCCACACTTAGTGGCTGCCTTCCTCACCCCAGCTCCCCCCCCCCCCCCCCCCAGCACTCACAGTGTTGTCTCAGGGTACGCTTCCGGGGGAATCCAGACCAAGAAAGTTTCCCAGAAGTGCAAATATGGGAGCAGATCGGAAAGCCCAACAGACTCCGACAAGCCTGAAAAGACCTTGAGCCGTATGCCAAGCCTGTACCGCATCTTTCAATATAAAGCTATGTTTACATGGGACATCTTTTTTCTTTCTTTTAATGCTTATTTATTTTGAGAGAGAGACAGACAGAGAATCCCAGGCAGGCTCTGCACTGGGCTCAAACTGACGAACCCCAAGGTCATGACCTGAGAGGAAATCAAGAGTTGGACGCTTAAGGCACCCCTAGACGGGACATCTTTAACAGAGTAAATTTAGAAGCAGGCACCCAGGAAGAGGTGAGAATTTAGTCCTCACTCTGCTCTTCTTCTGCCCCCTTTCTTCACCCTCTTACTTCCTTTCCCTCCCTCTCCCCTGCCTCCCACCTGTAGAATAGACCCCAGGCTACGCCTACCTCTGCCCGGAACAGCCTTTATAACTCCTCCCTCCCTTCCCAGCCCCCACCGCCAGCTGACCCGGATTCAGGTGTTTGTCTCCTCCCTCCGCCCTGAGAGCCAGAGGCCCTCACGCCATCCCGTCTCCATCATCTGTGAGCATGCCCCAAAATGCCAGCCTTTGTCTCAGGTGCTTTAGAAGGAAGTCAGCAAAATGATTCACTGATGAAAGAATCTGGTCTTAGGAAATAAATCCAGAGTCAAACCTAGGCCCTTTTTTTTTTTTTTTTTTTCCTATTCGATGATGGGAAATCTCTTATCTCTGTGTCAGCTGTGTCAAGAAAGCAGCCAATTCATTATTTAATATTGGCAAAAGTGATTTAAGGGCTTTAGCTGGAAGCTAGTAAGAGTGCCTATTACAGCAGTGACGGGGGAGGGAGAAGGGACCCGGTCCTCCCTCCAAGGGCGTCGGCATCACACGGGCTTCTCTTTCAATCTGTCCAAGAGTTCACGCGGGGAAACTCAAGGGCTCGAGGATGCCCACTGACTGAGGTGTAGGTGGCCGGAAGGGCCTGTTCCTGAAGCCGAATCACAGCCATGGAGAGCCGCTATGACTGACGGCATGGCCTTGTAGCCCTCGGGCTGCGGGACGAAGGCGCAAGTCTCCCCGCGACAGCTCAGCCCTGGACAAACTCCCCACTGAGCAGGTGGAGCCACACTTCTGCGCACTGTGTGCGTGCTTTCCGGGAGGAAAGCTGTGCAGTGACTTCCACTTCTGCTCCCAGAGTGAGCTGGGGGCCCAGGGGACTGTCGTGAGGGTCTGCCAGCAGCAGCATGCCTCCTGGCCCCGGGGGCATGGGGTGGGTCTGTCCTCAGAGCCCAGGAGCTGGAGGAATGCTCTGCCTGCCTGTTTTGTTGACAACACTCACATTTTTTTCTCTGCCAGGCAGAATGATTTATTTGCATGTCTTCGCTGAGGGCAATTATTTTTTAGCACCTTGCTGGGCATGCTGGGTGATCTCATCATGGGGAAGAGCCCACGGGTGTCTGTGTCACTCGGAGGAAAAGTGAGAAAGAGTCTCCCTTCTGTCTCATTCAGAAACTGTCTCTGGCACCTTCACACAGAGATGGCGAGCCCGTCTCTCCTCTCTTGGGAGACACTAGTTTGCCCACAGAATCCATCAAGGATGATGTTTAAAAAGCATCCCCCTTGGAGAGACGGTTTTTCGTCTTCAAAGAGAAGGGAAGAAAACGTTTCTGCCCTCCTGCTTTTCAAATGAAAACAAGTAGCATAAAACTTTATTCAGTAAGCAAACCTCATGCCAGATATGTTTTAGATTTCCAGGTACAGAATAGTTGAGTCGGGGAAGAGGGAACATGGAGACAGAATGGGCCCTGAAAATAGAGAAGAAGCCATGAGAAAGGGGAGAGACAGACAGACAGGGGGGAACGAGAAGGGGGTGGTGCAGGCGGGGAGACAGTGAGGGGCGGGCAGACCATAAATGCCAGAGGAGGGAGAGACCAGGGGGAGAGAGAGAGGGCACAACCCCCTCCCAGGGCCCCCTGCTTCTCCTTCCCCAGAACCAGTTTCTCCAACTAGGGTGTATGCTGGCTTCCTCCACCTGCTCCGTACCCCCCCACCACTCCTCACCCGACCCACACCTCCATTTGGAGCCCCACTCCCACCGGGCCTGCTCCTTCCATGGCCCAGATGTGCCTCCTGCTTGGATCAAGGGCACATGTGACAGGTGGACCCCTTGCTTCCTCTCCCGTGGTGGCTTGCGTGAGGGATACAAGCTCCCGGACGGTGGGAGGTGGGGGTGGGGAAGGGTGCTAGCTACCACCTGCCACACGGGGCGGGGGTGGTGGTGGGGTGTTGGGGGGGGTGGGGCACCAGCCTGTGCTGCTTTCAGTTTTCACATCCGGAAACTGGTGTTACTAATCGTACCTCACCTGCTTCCAGCACTGGACTCGGAGGTTTTGGTGTGTGTGTGTGTGTGTGTGTGTGTGTGTGTAGGTGATAAGGGATAAGAGAAAATGATGCACAAATAGTTCTTGCTTCGTGCGTGTGCTCCTCCTGTCACTTTTTTCTGTCCCTCTCCTCCCCCCACCCCTGCTCTTTATCTCATCCCCTCCAACCAGGCCTTCCCCAAGGCTCGTCTTTGCTCCTATCAACTCCTCACTCCTTCACTTCTCTTTCTGTGGACTCAACCACTGCCCACAACCGATGGCTCACAGGATGGCATCTGCCTGGAGCCGCGTGCCCCTGTGGCGCCGCGGACCCAGTGTGCCCACCGAGACCTGGGGAGTGCCCCCCCCCGGGGCACCCTCAGACCGACCCTTCTCCTACAGGAGTGTTTCCGCGGATAGACGCCCTCAGTTTTGATTCCTGGGAATGCTGCGGTGCGGTGCCTCACAGGAATCTTCTTCCAGTTTGCTCCCCCCGCAATGGGGAGATCAAAACCCAGCTGAGAAACAGGATGAGGCCTCACAGCGATGAAATAATAAATGACAGCAGAGCGAGGTGAGGCCTCTGGGCTGGAGATTCTACAGACACTTGTCACGCCCGGGTGAGTGAGGGGCCGCAGGAGGACAGCGCTCCCCCGGGGCAGGGGGGCAGGCCTGACTTTTACAGGCTGACAAAAGAGCACGGGGGTTAAGAGCACAGACTCAGGAGCCAAATCTTGGCTTTACTACTTACAAGCTGTGTTGCTTTAGGAAAGTTACTTAACTTCTCTGTGCCTCAGGGTTTTTGTTTTTGTTTTTCTTGTCTGTAAAGTGAGTTGTCGTGGGGATAACTCATCAGATAAATCAAGTAAGTGCACGTAGGCTGCTTACAACGGTGTCCAGCATGAAGAGAGTACCACGTAAGTATCTTATTTAGCAAGTGCTATGGTGGCTAAGAGTGACATTATTTACCCAAGTTTGCGTGTTCATATTTCTCAGTCAGGAGGCTCTGGGGACTCTGCGTCCCCACTGTGCCTTGTGCCAAGTCTTGCCTCACCTTCCTTCATGCTGTCATCATCTCTCTGAAGTGAGACCGGGCGTTCATCACTCCGCACCCCGCCCCCGCCTCGGAGCCTTGGTGCGAGCTACTGCACATGCACCCGGGCCCGTGACATCACCAGGCGGGACAGACGTGCGTGTGCGGACAAGGGGATGACATGAAGGGAGGGATGAAATGTGCCTCCAGGTCCCTGTTTCCCCTGCCAGGTGATTCAGGCACGTGGCCTCATGGGTCACCCCTGGCCAGGCAGGCAGGGAGAGGACAAGTGGGTCTGAGGAGATAAGGACAGGATTGGGGGGGCGGGGACAGGTGGCTCAGGTCCTGTGCAGGGGCTGACTTGGTGCTAAGGCAACAGGAGAGAAATGAGCAGAGTTTTATTTAAGAGCCATCTGTCTGGGGCCACCTGGGGGGCACAGTCGGTTAAGCATCTGACTCTTGGTTTCGGCTCAGGTCATAATCTCACGGTTCATGAGTTCGAGCTCTGCATCAGGCTCTGCCCTGAAAGCGCAGAGCCTGCTTGGGATTCTCTCTCTCCCTCTCTCTTTGCCCCTCCCTGGCTTGTGCTCTCTCTCTCTCTCTCAAAATAAATGAATGCACTTAAAAAAAAGAGAGATAGATCGGGGCGCCTGGGTGGCGCAGTCGGTTAAGCGTCCGACTTCAGCCAGGTCACGATCTCGCGGTCCGGGAGTTCGAGCCCCGCGTCGGGCTCTGGGCTGATGGCTCAGAGCCTGGAGCCTGTTTCCGATTCTGTGTCTCCCTCTCTCTCTGCCCCTCCCCCGTTCATGCTCTGTCTCTCTCTGTCCCAAAAATAAATAAACGTTGAAAAAAAAAATTAAAAAAAAAAAAGAGAGATAGAGAGATCTCTCTGACTCTTGGATAGAAAGGGGGCTTAGCACAGGGCAAGCTGGGAAGTGAGGAGGGCAGGTATGGAGCCGTCGTGGGAGGAAGCGACAGAGGCCTGCATCTAGGTGATGGCAGTGGGGAAGGTACAGAAGGACAGACGAGTTCGACTATAAAGGGAAGAATTGGCCAGCCTTGGTGACCCCTTAGGTGTCAGCAGTGGGGAGGAGGAGAGACTTCCTGGGTGGCAGGTGGTCTCCAGAATAACGGATAGGAAAGTGGTTTGTCAACCGTGACAAGCTCTATGTTGTCAAAGACGTCATTCCACACAGGGCGACCCCACAAGGAAAAGGGGAAAACGGTAGTGTTTCTTGCTTCCTTTAAAATTTTTTTTTTCAACGTTTATTTATTTTTGGGACAGAGAGAGACAGAGCATGAACGGGGAGGGGCAGAGAGAGAGGGAGACACAGAATCGGAAACAGGCTCCAGGCTCTGAGCCATCAGCCCAGAGCCCGACGCGGGGCTCGAACTCACGGACCGCGAGATCGTGACCTGGCTGAAGTCGGACGCTCAACCGACTGCGCCACCCAGGCGCCCCTCTTGCTTCCTTTAAACACAGATTGTGCCCCTACCAGAGGGAGCAGTCAGACGGGGCCCTGGTATGGAGGTGCTCACATGTGAACTGGGGAGACAGGCCCTCTGCCTGAGGAGGCCCCATACTTCCTGCCTCGCCCGGGCTGGGTCACAAACCACGGAGGACTTGAGCCTCCCCCAGGGCAGGGACCTCCAGGCCAGCCTGAGTTACCACCACCTCTACGTCTCCCACCCTTCCCCAGAGCACTGGGTGACATATAGTTTCAAGTCGCAGTTACTGGCGTATCCAGACGCTTGTCAGCTGGTTGCTTCATCTGTGAAATGGGGATGACGAGAGGAGGATTAAGAAACACATGTAAATTTCCAAGTACAATGTTGGCACATAGTAAGTGTTCAATTAAATGAGGCACTCTATCACTATTACTGCTTATTACTATACTTAGCACATCCCCATCTGGTCTTTTCTGTCCTTGCCTTCAATACCTCCAATACTTCCCAGCCCCTCTCCTCCCGGGAAGACTTGTCTAAGATCGTTAATCCTCCCCCACGTACACCTGAGGACTCAGTGGAGGTCTGATCAAACCGCCCCAGGTTCCAGGTGGAGTCTACTTCCTTCTTTGAGTGGATCTACTCTACTGTCAAGAGAAGAGACAGAATCAGGAAGGAGAGAGAACCTTCTGGTTTCTGAGGTCTGCTCCGCGCCAACCACATCACTACGCTACCTGGTGGAGTCCTCACAGCCCTAGATCGTTGCCTCACTTTATAGGAAAGGTAAAATGAAGTATAGAGAGGTCAAGTGGCATCACTGAAGGTCCTACAGAAATAACCAGAGACCAGGATTAAATAGGGGGCTGTCTGATTCAAAAATCCGGGCCCTTGCCTCTGACCCCGACAATCTCATGGAAACTCCCATCCTTGGACGGGTAGGAGCGGCCATCCCTTTGATTAAAGCTAAAGGAGGAAAGTCAGTCATTCAGTTCCATGGGGCCTTCCAGATGGAATCACCAAAGGAACAAAGTATGTTTTAGACCTAGATAACCCAGACTGGCGGGATGTGTATCCCATTCCTTCTGGGTGTGGCCCGGACACAGTGACGGTTGTGAAATGGAAGGGCCATGAAAGGAGTCGGGCCGAGGGTGTAGGTGAGCAGACACGTATCTGGGCAGTGTCTCCAGTACCCCCAGGGCTCTAGCCCAGGCTGTGCCAGAGACAGGCTGTGAAGCAGAAGCAATTCCAAGTCCTAAGCCCTCTTAAGGGCACAGAGCACACACTCTGCCTTGATTAATGGGAGAACATTAGCGTCTGCTCTCTCACTCCTTCCTGGCTTTCAGCCACTGGGAGGAGGTGTTCACATTTACCACAGCCTGCCCTTTTGCGTGCAGTTTAGACATCTCTTTGCCATCTATCATTCGACCGCAGGTGGAGGTGGAGTCAAGAGTCCTGGATTCAAATCCAAGCTCTGCCATTTACCAGCTGGGGACTGTGAGATTTTCACTGGTTAGGCGAGGGCATTGGGCTTAGGGAGGTCACTAGGGTAAATGACAGAAAAGGGTTTAAATCCAGGTTTTTGCGATTCCGAATCCAAGGCTCTTTCCAAAAGAACATCTGGTCCATGGAGAAAGGAAAAAAAACTTCAGCAAGCAGAACATCTTTGCTTCGTCTCCTACTGACATCTGAGACACAGCCAACCAACCGAACTCAACTACCAGCTGACTCAACGTGTTAGGCAGAAGGTCAAAGCTCTCTCTGTCCCGTTCAGGTTTCATCCGTAAAGACTCCTTTGGCTGCGTGAGATTGTACCTCCTTTGTGGGACCCCATGCCATCTTCTGGACAGCACAGACTAGCTATGGGTTACCTCAGCCTCGGGAGGTTCAACCTTTCTCTGGAGGGCAAATGCTGACCAGGAATTCAAGATGGCAGGACGTGGGGAGTGGGGCTGAGGCAATCTATAAAAGGATCGTTCTCTATACCCATAAAAGGATAAAGTCAGCGTGACTTCTGGAGACCAGGCTGCCGGCCAGCACTTTGCGAAGTTGTGTTCCGAGGATGGCCCCTGTAGCTTGTCTTTCTTGGTCTCCTTCTCCTAGGAGGAGATGGAAACACACTTTGCGTTACATGGTCACAGAGTCCAAAGAGAAGTAAGTTATTACTCATTCATTCATTCATGTATTCATCCTGCCAGCCACTGGGCTACTATTGTAAAAAGACAGAGCATGGCCTCTGCCCTCCCAGGCTTAGTGAAGTGACATGAGATCTGGGGCAGGTGGACCAGGGCTCTGCCCCAAGCCCCAGAATTTACTACCCATATGGTCTGACCTGTTCCTAAACCCCCTGAACCACAGTTCCCTTGGGTGTCAGATATGCGTGATGATGCCTCCCTCCCATGATTCATGTGAGTGAAGGGATTTAATCAAGCGAATGCAGACGTTCTTTGCTAACCATAAAGGTCATATCAATTTCAGTTACCGCTGTGAATAATGTGACCATTATTATCGCTACACTTTTCCCCTGGGGAGGTTTTCTCTGACCTGTGTCTTGTGCCAGAATTCGGGTAAAATTTACTTCAGCCGCAGGCTCTGACAATATTGATTGATCTACTTGAGATCGTTAACCTACTTAAAAAAAAAAGCACAAACTCATGTACTGTAAAATTCACCCACTTAAAGTTCAATGTTTTTTAGTATATTCACAGGGTTGTATAACCTTTGCTGCATCTAATTTTAGAACACTTTCATTCCACCTAAAAGGAACTCCATAGCCATAAGCCGTCACTCCCGTTCACTCCCATCAACCCACCATAAGCAACCAGGCGTCTTTTTGTCTCTAGAGATTTGTCTCTTGTGGATATTTCATATAAACGGAATCATTGAATGTGTTGGCTTCTTTTACTCAACATAGTGCTTTCAGGGCTCACGTTGTAGCATGAATCAATATTGCCTTTCTTTTCATTGCTAAATAATACTCCATTTCATAGAGAAAGCAAACTATTGATTTCATCATCAGTTAGTAGACATTGAGTTATTTCCACCTTTTGGCTCTTATGAACGATGCTGCTGTGAATATTAGAATACGAGTTTCTGTGTAGACCTGCGTCTTCCTTTCTCTTAGGTACGTACCTGGGAAAGGAACGGCTGACTCGTATAGTAGCTCTGTGTTTAGCGTTTGGAGGAACCGCCACACCGTTTTTCAAAGCAGCGGCAGCATTTTACATCCCCACCAGCAGTGTTTGAGTGTTCCAACTTGTCCACGCCCTCACCAACACTTGCTATCTTTTTGCTTAAAGTCATCCTAGTAGATGTGAAGTGATCGCTCCTTAGAGCCTTGATTGCATTTCCCTAATGACTAATGATGTTGCCCATCTTTTCATGTGCTTATTGGCCATCTCTAGATCTTGCTGAAATGTCTATTCAAATCCTCTGCCCCATTTTAGATTGTGGCCTTTCTCTCTTTTTTTTTTTTTTTTTAAACCTTTATTTATTTTTGAGACAGAGAGAGACAGAGCTTGAACGGGGGAGGGTCAGAGAGAGAGAGGGAGACACAGAATCAGAAACAGGCTCCAGGCTCCGAGCTGTCAGCACAGAGCCCGACGCGGGCCTTGAACTCACGAACCGTGAGATCATGACCTGAGCCGAAGTCGGACGCTTAACCGACCGAGCCACCCAGGCGCCCCTGTGGCCTTTCTCTTTTTATGATGAGCTGAGAGTTCTTTATATATTTTGGATACAAGCCCCTTATCCAATATATGATTTTCAAATATTTTTCTCCCATTCTTCGACTTGTCTTTTTTTCTTTTTTTCTTCCTTCCTTCCTTCCTTCCTTCCTTCCTTCCTTCCTTCCTTCCTTCCTTCTCTTTCTTTCTTTCTTTCTTTCTTTCTTTCTTTCTTTCTTTCTCTTTCTTTCAATATTTTTTAATGTTTATTTATTCTTTGAGAGAGGGAGAGTGAGAGAGAACAAGCAGGGGAGGGGCAGAGAAAGGGAGACACAGAATCTGAGCCAGGCTCCAGGCTCTGAGCTGTCAGCACAGAGCCTGATGTGGAGCTCGAACTCACGGACTTCAAGATCATGACCTGAGCTGACGTCAGCCGCTTAACCGACTGAGCCACCCAGGCACCCCTCTTTATTCCCTTTCTTGATGGTATTGTTTGCAGCACAAAAAATTTAAATTTCGATGAAATTCGATGAAGTCAATTTATCCACTTTTTTCTTTTTCTGCTTACGTTTTCAGTGTCCTGTAACGTCTACTTTTAAACTTCAACAAAGCTTTGAGATTAAATATCCAGCATGATTTCCAAATCAAGAAAAAAAAAAAAAGCAGTGAATCATCACTATAATCTTAAGTTATAGTAACTGAATAAGCCCAATTGAAACCTTCTTGCTGTGGAAGAAATGAGGAAAGAACGGTGGTCGAGGCAGGCTAGCAATGTGCCTCCTCCCCTTACCATCGCCAATGCAAGATACTTGCACAGGGGCTTTCTTTAAGGAAGAAAGAGTGAAAGTGCCCTGGGACTGAGAGATGAAGGAGTGAAGGAAGGCAGTTATCTATGCTGCATTTGTGTCCAAGGGCCAAGCAAAGCCAAGTCTGGATTCCTAGGCCACCTTTTCCACCCTCCCCTCCCCGTTTCCCACCCAGGAGGGCCTGTGGGGATGAGGAAGCTCTTCAAGATGGCTGACAGAACACCAGGGCCTTTGAACATGCTCTTCCCTCTGCCTGGAAAGTTCCTTGCTCCCAGTCCTTCACCCAGCCAACTCCCACACCTCTTTTTTGCTCCTATTTCATTTGTTGGTTCCTAAAGAAAACTGCCCCGATCCCTACCCATCCTGCCCCCGTAACACCTGATACCCCAGAATACATTTCATAGCTACCTGTACTTTTCCTTCGTGATACTTTTCACAATTTTTAACTACATATTCATTCTAACTACATATTTTATCATCCGTCTTCTCTAAAATTTTTTGATGTTTATTTAGTTTCGAGAGAGACAGCGTGAGCAGAGGAGGAGCGCAGAGAGAGGGAGACACAGAATCCGAAGCAGGCTCCAGGCTTTCAGTTGTCAAGTTGTCAGCACAGAGCCCAATGAGGGGCTGGAACTCACGAACCGTGAGATCATGACCTGAGCCGAAGTAGGAGGCTTAACCGGCTGAGCCACCCAGGCGCCCCTATCATCTGTCTTTTTTAATAGGCTGCAAACTCCCTGAGAACAGGGCCTATGTTTATTTTGCTCACAATTATAGGCTTATCGCAGAGTGTGGCATAAAGTAGAATCTCAAATACTTGTGGAATGAATGAATGAATGAATGATTACAGGAACTGGAAATCCCTCCCGAATGGCCCATTTGTTTTCAGAGGGGTTTGTTTTCACAGTCCTTATGGGACCAGAGTCATACAAGAAGGTCAATCCCCCGGGGTGCGTGGGTGGCTCAGTTGGTTTAGCATGAGACTCTTGATTCAGGCTCACACCGTGATCTCACAGTTCATGAGTCTGAGCTCCATGGAATTCTCTCTCTCCTTCTCTCTCTCTCTCTCTCTCTGCCCCGTCCCCACTTGCGCACGCTCTCTCGCTCCTAAAAATAAATAAATAAAGCTTTAAAAAAAAAAAAAAAAAAGAAGGTCAGTGTCCGGTAGACAGAGCAGGGAAAAAAAGCCCGTTTCTACCCATTAGGTGGTTTCAGAAGTACGGGACCTGCTCCTGCCATGGGTCTGACGGGATCCTCAGGATGGGCAGGGAGAGCATGGAGGCATCATTGATCAATCCAGGTCTTCATTCTGCTTCCCCTTGTGCCGGTGTCGTTCTCAAGCCGGTCCTCTGCCACTGGTGGCCCCACAGCCACAGGTTGGCAGGCTTCCTGCTTCAAGACTGGCAGACAGGAGACTTCTCCCCAACAGAGCCAATGACTGTCCACGAACGGGGTCTCACCGGACCACCGGGAGAATCTGCCCAGCTCTGAATCGATCCCTCGGGATAAAATAATGAAATACACTGATGGGCCAGGCCTGAATCATAGGCAGGACTCAGGAGCCAGAAGGAACCACGTGAGCTGAGAGTGGGGGCGGGGCGAGTCCCCAAAGGAAACCGGACATGTTCTGATCAGCTGAAGGGTGAGCGAAGGTGGGAGAGGCAGAGGAGTAGCTGTTCCCTGCGAGGGTTGTCTGAGGCACAAACCTGATCGTGTTGCTCCACTGCCTTCAGGACCCAGTGAGCAAGGCCGTCAACATGTGGCTGCAGCCCATGTCTCTGAAATGATTCCCTGCTGCACCCATGCCCACACATGTACTGCTTTCCACCATCCGTGGGTGGGTCTGTGCCTCCATCATCCTTCAGGCGCAATGCAAAAGCCCCCTTGTGCAAGGAGCAGCTCGCTGTCACTCCGCCTGGCCCTCGCAGAGCCGGCTGCACCCCCCTCCCCACGCCCCCCACCACCCCCCAGCTTCCACTTTCCCCGGGGAGAATACTGACTGCGCTATTCTGCCCCCGTGCATTTACCCCTCCTCACCCTGGCCCTGCAAAAGGCCTCCCGACACATACTAGTCGCTTGGTGACTGCTGGTTGAATTAATTAATTAGCCTGCCAGGCAAAGGAAGACATTGAAGACTGTCCTGAGGGCCTGGTTCCTCTGGATATAATTTTAGTACAGACTGGCTTAATCAGGACACTTGCACTGGGGGGGGAAAAAAACCGAGGCCCGACTGAAGTTTTCCCCTGATTCACTGAAAAGAGATTTCATTGTTCTTTTCAGTTATGATGCATCCTCCACTCGGGCACCAAGACCCTGTATGATCCCTGCCAGCAGGCAGTTCAAGGCCCAGCCATCCCACCACTCTAGGGGTCTGTGCCTGGCCTCGGGCATCAGTGCGGGGCTCAAAGCACATGCAGCGGGCCCTTTAGAGGGCAGGAGAGGCTTTCCACTGCTTCCCGGGTGGCCTGGGCGTCTGTCTGCCACAGTCCTGCCCACCCAGAGTCTATCTGTCTGTCTGTCTGTCTGCCTGTCAGTCTCCAGGTCTGAAGCTGCCTGCTGCCAGCAGCTGCCTGTACCTCCGTGGCCCTGCTCTCTCAGGTATTACAGAGGGAGGTGAGAATGTTTGTATCTCTACCCCAGGCATCCCGCAAGTAGCTATTACGGTCCATTTTATCAGAGACGGAAATGGAGTCTCAAAATGGCAAAATGACTGGCCTCGCGTGCCTTTGTCTACATAGCTAGACATTACACCTTACGTTATGTGACTAGCCTTCGGGGAAATGGGGGGTGGGCTGTGTCTGGTGGGCTTGTGGATCTCTGCATGGAGACAGTGCAGGCCGCCCCTCACCACTGACAGTAACGTCCCACTCCTCTGACCTCTCTGCCTCACCCTCGCTGCTCATCCATTCTCAGATATTTATTTTCTAGGCACCATTCTAAGCTCTGGGATACAGCAACCAACAAGACAGGCGTCGGACCTCACCTTCCAGTAGATACGAAAGAAAATACATACAGAAATAAGTACACAGTATAGTTTTAGATAGTTGATAAGTGCTAGGCAGAAAATAATCAGGTATTGTGGGGGTGCCCGGGTGGCTCAGTTGGTTAAGTGTTTGCCTTCAGCTCAGGCCATGATCTCATGGTTCGTGGGTTTGAG